TTGCCCTCCTTTTGAAACTCATGATTGGTCTATTAAAACACTTATTAGGGCCGGCTGAGTGGTGCATTGGTTAGGAGTTGGCTTGGACGCCAGCTCTGAGCAGCAGGGCCCTGGTTCGGATCCCACATGAGGGCCAGTGACGCTGTGCCCTCTACAGCTAACATGGTTAGCAACAGCTCAACCTGGAGCTGGGCTGTCGTGAGCCACTGGTGATGGCATAGGCTTCAGCCCCTGCTCCAGTGGGCTGCTGTGAGCCACCGTGAGCGACCAGCCATCCAGTGGCAGGTGAGCAACTGCCTCACCTGGGATGAGTGCAAAAAAAAAAAAAAAAAAGGCCTGTTAATTTCTTCATAGCTTGAGTTTTAAAAGAAAACGGCCTCTAAATCAGTTTGAGTCATTTGCCAAGCTGGCTGTGGTTTTAAACTGGGGAAAATATTGAGACAACAGAGCCTACCATTCAAAATCAAAATGATTCTTTCTAGAGGGGATTATACTTTTCTTAATCCATTCTATTTGATTTTTAACTTGACTTAGGAAGGTTCCAAGTATAGCTTCTAGGTGATTTTGCTTTGAACAGTTGAGATGTCTCATCAATATAACTTATTTACAGACAATAAGAGGCATTTGGGTTATACTTTTGGCTGGAGCTCTCTCTGCACAGCAGATCATGTCCTTGAAATGACCTTCCTGATAAACTGCTTCACGGGATGAATGGCACTGTGACTTTTCAAACAGCCTTTTGATGGCCATGCATATCTGTCTCTACACCTGAATCCCAATGTGTACAAGTTATTTTTCACTAATTCATAAATTCAGCAGGTATTTTTAGAGACATAGCATGCACAATATGTTGTACTTAATGTTAGGCATTAGATAAGTTTGGCTACATATGAAGACAGGGTTGAGTTGCTACTTGTGAAATCAGTAAAAAGAAAAGAATAAATATTCCAATTAAAAAAAGAAACAGAATTAATGTATTTTCACTTAAGGGAAATACTTCTACTTTTGATATCTTAAACCACCCAGGAAGAGAGAGTGATGAATCCTATGGGACCTGAAGTTTTCTAGTGAACTTTTGAAGTTTTCTAGTGAACTTTGTCAAAGTGGGAGACTTTGGACTAGTTTTCAAAGTTATTTAAGGATTTAGATGCCTCAGCTTCTATTTTCTCGTTCTCTGGTTCAGATAGAGACAAATTCTTACTTCATTTTAATTCCCTGTCTCTGAGCCACTTTTGGTTTGGTTTCTTTTCTTGACTGCAAGAAGAAAAATAATTGGGTTAAAATTGGGTGCTCCTAAGTACTGTACTGTCATGGATAGATTTGACAGAGGCTCACCAAACTTTGTCTTCCTATTTTCTACCAATGTCCAGCCAGTTCTTATTATTCACAGTAGTCTGTCCTATGAAGCTGCTATGAGCATGGAATTAGTGAACACTGAATAATTTGCTCCTAGGTGAATATAAGGTTAGGTTCCTGTGAGTCTCGGGTCACATTTTGGTAAACCAATCTGTACATGACCTTGTTTCATGTGTTTTTCTATTTAAAAACATCTTATTTAATCCATGTTGTCGATTCATTTACCCTGGACTTATGGTCAACAACATTATAACTCATGTCTGAATGAAACTTATCTAACACACACATCTTCTCCATAAAGGACATCAGAGTTATGCTTGGGAAAACTAGAGAGAATTTTAGCAGTATGCCTTGGTGACCATGTTAAACAGTGAGATCACCAGTAAAATCCGCAAAAATATAAATACTGTGGCACCAAATAAACTGCAAAAATGATGCATGTTTACAGGATAAGAGCCAAAGTAAGAAGGTAGAGAATCATCTTGTTTGATCTCAGCTGGGAGCTGCTTTAAAGGTGACTTAAGTTTTTCAACACTCTATTCATGTCTGTGAATGACCATGAAGTCACTTCACATATTGATTTTAGGGTTACAAATTCATTTTAGCGAGGAGGTGAATTTGTAAATATGGAATCTGTATTAATAAAAATTGGCTCTACTTTTGTCCTATTTTCTCTAAGCCATGTTTTCTACTTAGTGTTCTTCAAGTTTACCTTATAGCAAGATCAAAAGGAAATAGATCTTATTTTATTACTTGATTCATGTTTTGCTCACTTAATTTTGCAGTCTGTCCTGCTATTTTTGTTATATTGATATATTGATATTTATTACAAGAATGTACTTTTCCCAATGTCAAAGAATAGAGAGAAAAATTGACTAATGGATTAATCAGCCAATTATTGGGTTGTTGGAAACGTCATCAATCATTTTTGTAATGAAAAGCAGAAAAAATACGTCATGACTTTTCTGGCAACCCAAAATATACAATTTGTCTCAAGGTGCAGCTCTCATAAGGCAGTATTAAAAAATGAAATAAAATATATTCTTGAATTGTCTTATAACATATTCAACTTCTGCCTAAATGATGCAAATCTGTGCAAAATTAACTCCAGTAGGAGTAATATCTATTTTAAGTCATGTTTTTTCAAAGTCCAAATTCTATGCTGTATAAAAGAATAATTATTTCCACACATGGTCAAGTTCTCTTAGCATGCTAGAAAAAAAATTTTATGACTGCAAAATTTGAGTTTATTAATAGAAAAGTACATAGTACCATATCATTTTTTTCCTAAGGAAGTTCTAGAATACTTACTCCTACATGGTAATGCTATTTAGAACAGATCCAAACAAAATAATAGTCTGGCAAAGTTTTGACTCAGTTCCCAATACCTGCTAAACCTTAAGCATCATGAGGAAAGAAATTTTAACTCTGTTGATCAAGACTATTTCATTTATATATAACAAGATGCATGACACATAGTAGGTGCTCAACAAATATTGGTCAAACAAAGGAGTAAATGATTCACTTTATAAATATCATAACCCAAAGAATTAGGAAGGTTTTCTTCTCCAAAGTTTATCTTTCCCAAAATTTAGAGTCCTTTAAATAAAGTAAAACTTAAGATATCTTCATTTATTCTTATACTGATTTAAATATACTTTTGGAAGTAATATCTTGAAATAATCACATTTCACTATAAATCAACGAGTTTAAAAAAACACACAGACCATTTTTTTGTTTTCTTAGGTAATCCAAATTTCATCACCAGCTTACTGGCACCAGCCATTTGGTTTAAGTCTCTTTACTTTCTCATTAATTTTACATTCTGCTTTGACTCTAAGAAAAATGGAAATCTATACAAATAAGGTATACAGAAATAAAAAAGATTACTGGAAAATCCATAATTATATGGAAATTTTAAAATATACTTCTATGATAATATATGAATCAAAGAATTAATTAAAATAAAAAGAAGAAAATGCTTTGAACTGAGTGACAACAAAACACTACATATCAAAACTTTGGAGTGCAGCTAAAACTATGGTTAAAAACAAATGTATAGCCTTATATCAGAAAAGACAAATGGCCGAAAACTAATGAGTTAAGCATTGCTCTAAATAAGTTGGGAAAGTTGCAGCAAATGATGTAAATAGAAGAAAATAAATTAGACATGTAATAACCATAATTAAGAAATAAAAAAGATAGAGACCTAATAAAACTAGAAGCTGATTCTTTGAAAAGACTAAAACATAAATTCCTAGATAAACTGACAAATAATAAAAATCAAAGGAAACAGAGAAACCAAGGAGGAATGGAAAAGGAAACACCCCAAACAATCCTACAGCCATTAAAAATTTTCACTTACAGTAACTTCAAAAATATTAATAAAGCAAAACATGGGAATAAATTTCCCTGAAATATGCAAAATCACTACAAAGAAACATAAACTATAATTGAGGGGAAATGTAAAATACCTTAATAATAAAGAGAGAGAACTTTCCATGGATTAGAAGATTCAGTATTGTAAAATGATAGTTCTCAAACTGATCTGTACATTCAGTACAATCTTAACAAAAATCTCAATAGTTTTTTTCCAGAACTTAAAATGCTAATTCTAAAATTTATATAGAATTACAGATACAAGATTAATTATGAAATTCTGAAGTAGAAGAAAAAAGTGGGCTAATTTGCTTGTTAGATTTTAAGACTTTTTACAGAATGCATAGTTGAGACAATGGTTGGTGTAAGGATAGATAAATAGAGAAATTAAACAGACTTAGAATCCAATAATAGACAACCATGGACACAATACATAGCAAAGGTGAATTTTCAGAGCAGAGGAAAATGATAGACCACTCAATAAATAATGTTTACTTACCGGATAAGCAAATGAAAAAAAACGTAAGGTAAATTTGATCTCTACCTCACATTCTATGCTGAGTGGATTTAAACTCTAAATGTGAAAGTGAAACCAATAAGTCCACTAGAAAATGATGTAGAAAAGTGCCTCCCTTTGGAGACGTTAAGAAAATATTGCTTTAACAGAACACAAAAAAATAACTAACCATAAAGGAAAAAAATCCATAAGCTAGAGTGCATTGAAATTAAGAAATTCTGTTGATTCACATGCACAAATAAGATAGTGAAAAGGCAGTCCACAAAATAGGAGAAGATATTTGCAATGCACACAATTTTTAAAAAGTGCTTGTTTTCTGAAACTATGAAGAATTCCTACAGATCAGTAAGAAAAAGTAGTCCAAATGAAAAACGACCGTAAGAAATGAATAGACATTTTCAAAAAGGAGTTTATGAAAATGCCCAATAAACATTTAAAATGTTGCTTAACTTCGTTAATAACCAGTTAGTAACAATTAGACAACCTAAGTTAATCAAGATGACGTGATTATACAACCACCAAAATCGTTAAAAAATAAAAGTATTAATAATGCCATTTGCTTACAAACACATGGGGTCCTGAACTCCGTATACTGTTGATACATTTGTAAATTACAGCTATTGATATCATCTACTAAAATTGAACAGACATTCATTTTATGACCTTTACAAATCAACAATAAAGATCTTTACATGCCCTAAGGAAAGTTCCCCCTAAGTAAATGAAGCTGTGATATGTTTGTTTCCAGGATATCTGTAAAAGAAGCTCTCATTACCGAACAAGAATTGGAACTGAAAGGAGAAATTTCCTGGTCTCGTTTGATAGATGTAAGACACTCCTAAGCAAGAAAGGCTGGTGTGAAAGTTTCATGCATAATATAGAACGATCATTAAAGGCATCAGATATCGATTTGACTGAACACTCCTGCTGACTTTCAACAGAAGTTGCATAGCCTTCAGCAACATGTGACGCAATTGATGAAAAGATGAAACCGTAAGTTTAGATAAATGGGAAACGCTAACAAAACTTTCCCGTTCTCTGACATAACACAAAATGGTACTGTTAACACCCAAGGTGATGGGGTCATACATCGTCGGTGCCTGAATAAGTCTAGAATACTACCTGCAATAAATGTAATGAAAACTGCGTGTTAAGGAATCATTTTGTCAAATTTTAATATTTAGCTTTAGTATTCCCTTTTAGTGTTTCATCAAATGTGAATTCAGAAATTAGATTTCTGAAGCCTGCTTTAAACCAGCTCCACAGGTGATGCCAATGCAAAATAAGGTTGAGGAACAGCTACTCTATAGCTCATTAAAAGATTTTCCATAACATGAGGTGTATTCATGTCAAATTAAGAGGTGATTACCCACAATAACCACTATTTATTGAACATCCCTGGACAGTACCAGTCGCTAGATTCATTTAATTCACAGAAATAATGAAGTAGATATTACAACTCTGTTTTTTAGAAATATGTCCTCCTACTCTACAGCAATTTCTATGTTTATGCCCATCAATTTGTAAACAGAGACCATATGCTGCTATTTTAATAGCGAACTGTATTTGGTGCACAAAATAGTTCACATACTCCATTTCTTCCTTTTTCTGGTTTTCTGTACTTGGGCTAAGTCTGACCTTGCAAAACATAAACAAAAACAAAAACAAGATTAATTATTGATTCCCTGTGAATTTTGTTTCATACATGAAGCTTATTAATGGGAAACAGCATGGCTATTGGATGACTTTGAATACAGGGAAAGGCATTTTATTTTTCACTTTAATATGCAATAGTACAGCATTAAATATTGAATGAAAACTTACATTTCAAAAATCACTCTTTAATAATTGTTTCCCTCCCTACCCCAAGGATTTTTTTTCCACCAACTTTTTATTTATTCCATGTTTTCTATAGTAATGGCACATAAATGTAGATATTAGCATACTTTTTAAGACACACAAACTAAAGAACTGAATGTAGAATGTGCTTATTTTGATGAGATTATGAAGAGTCCAGTAGAAGATATTGTCTTGTGTTTACACCAAGATAAACTTTAAAAGCAGTGTTCTCAAACAAGATAAACACAGACCAAAAACAACAATAAAAACAAAAACAAATGAGTACTATTTTGTTACTGTTATTTAGTAGCTTTTCTGGAAACTGTCATTTCATAACATGAGAAATTTACCAAGATAGCATAGAAAGCTCAAAAAACGTTCCCTATGCTTTTATTTAGTAAAATGAAAATGTAATACATTCCCAGGTATTCTAAGTATTCTTATTTCATTTGGCCCATGAAGAAAGAGAATAACAACTTCTCACATTTAGAAAACTTCAATAAAATCTTATTAGTTTGCATGCTAACAAATTTGTGATGATTTAATTTGTTACCATTTAGTCTAGGATGAGCTAGAAAGAAGTATTTTCTTTTCATTGTCTATAAAGAATACCTTTGGCTATGTAATTAATAAAGCTGATAAAATTCCAAACACTCATTTCAACCTATTCCAGACAACAAACTAATTTTAAATAGTTAATCTTAGCTTATTAATGGACCCTACTGATTACAAATTAATCTCATGTATTTACTTCAAAAGTATCAGCAGGACTTCTAATTGGAAACAGGTGTGAAAAGTTGAGGGCGGTGGAGGAAAAGAGAGAGAGAGAGAGAGAGAGAGAGAGAGAGAGAGAGAGAGAGAGAGAGAGGATTAATATAGAAATATGTAGGCTGTGGAGCCGAGCTGTCACTTGGGTGAACTGAGGGGCCACTTCCTTCAATGTTTCTTACTGCTGCTTCCTTTGCTTTACTCGGATGGGTTTCTCCTTCAGGGACAATGTTCTTTGACAATAATTAATGCATGGAAGAGGCAAGATTTTGAAAAGAAAAGTATCTTCATTCCCAATTTCTTATCTGATAATATATCTGATTCCAGAATTTCCAAAACAAAAGCCCAAATATTTTATTTCCAATGTCACACTTGTAATAAGTAAAATGTACTACAATGCTCTCAACCCTACGATGGATTTACAGTGCCTTTGTTCAGAGGGGCTTCACCAACACCAGCAATTTGAATTGTCCATTTGTTTGGCAACGCAGTAGTTGTTAAGCCCCAGGACAATTTGCCGTAAAAGGATTTGTACTGGGTGAAAATTTCCACTTAATTTGTTAACTAAAAGACAGGCCATTGCTGTAGAGATGGGAAAAGAGTATCTGCGTGGTACCTTGACTGGAAATTGACTTTCTTAAATCACCAGTGCCATGTTCTTAGAAAGTCTCTGTGTATACTTAAAAATCCAAGTTGTAACATCACTGGTTTAGAGAATTCAATAATTTGCAAAAGGCAACATAGGTTAACTTGCATTTAAGTTCAGACTTCCTGACTTCAAAAACCCAGCTCTTAACCACAGCACTGCAGTGTGTTCAGTTTTCTTAAAGATAAATTTTACATGGAACGAAATGCTCATTTCTTTTCAGTATTTGCAAGTTTCACACTGGCTTATTTGTATATCTCACTGTACAGTGATGCTCTTTTAATTGCCTTGCTCTGTAACTATGCCTTTTTATTGGAATTTTTTTTTCTTACTCATAGTTCTAATTTCTTAAATTGCACTTAAGCCTCAGGAACTAGTGTATCAATTAGAAATATCAAGTAAACTTTCTACATTTGAATTTAGGACATTTTAGAGTAGTGAGGTAATGATGTTTAAAAGCAAAAATTTTGTTGTTCAGGCTTATGGTTTGGCTGTCCTATGTTTCTTTAGTTTTTTGTTCCACTTTATATTAATACAATGCTACAACATTCATATAAGATCAACATTTCAGCTTCATTCATTAGGAAAGCTTCACAATTTTGCTCTAAAAACATTAATCATAGTAATTGCACTGAGTTAATACTGTACATTCAAAAGAATCTGTTTGCCTCTGCCAACTGGAAATCTGTTTCTCCCTAGGGAATCACGTACAACCACTGTAGAAAGACCATGGCGATGTTCACCTTCTAGACTATTTTAACTGCTCTGCACTGTTGACAGTGGAGGTTTTAATATTTTCCCTGTGTTTTCTCAAAATGTTGTGGCTTACCATTGATAAATTGCTTTGAGGTATAGAAAATATTGCACTTGCCATTGAAACCAGAAAAGGAGGGAAAGAGTGAAGGAAGGTAGGAGAAAGGAATGAAACAGGGAAGGAGGAAGAGAGGAAGGAAGAAAGGGAGCAAAAAAGGAAAGAAGAAAGGGAAGAGAAGGCAAAAAGTGAGACAGATGGGTAGTTAGAAAAAAAAATTAGACTTGAAAGGGAGCTCAGATATCAACTAGCTTAATTATTTCTTTTTCTGAACTGGCCTGTTGTCAACCAGTACAAATTTGGGACTGCAACCCATACATTCTGTTGCGTATTAATGAAACAACAAATCAATTTTCCCGAAGATATGCCTTCCCTACAGTGAAATATGCCCTCTTTTACAATGAAGTTTTGACGGCTGCCCAGTTTTTTCATATTTTGTTTTGACTTTTCCCCCTTATATTTCTTAAAAACAATGCTACTACAGTTGTGAAAAGGACAAACAATAAAAATTTGTGAGCTTTTTGGGCTGCAGTGGATATTGTGGAAGTTTAACGATGTCTCACAGGAAGGGTATTTCTGCCCACCAGGGTGACCCATTTTAGCTCAGATCCTAACTTGGAAATTATTTTTTCTATCCCAAAGTGATAATATAAAAATGCCCCTTCTACCAATGCAGTACTTTGAACACAGATGTTGGAGGCAATGCTAGAAAGAGATAGTTAAGTATACAAAAAAGCCTTTCCTAGGGACAGATTGCTCATAAAAAGTATTTTGCAGTGCTTATTAGAAGCAAGGAAATCTCCCTAAGCAATACCACACCAAGACTGGATGCTACAATAAAAAAATCAGAGATAGAAGTTTTGTGCTATAAAGCACAACCTCGGTGTTTGCTGACAGAGGGTCTCCAACTTTCTGGAGTCACTCTCTCTTTTTTAAATATGACTTTATCTCCCATCCCCTACTTTTCAATGGTCCTTACCCAGAATTCTGTGAATAATCAATGGAAAGCTTGTGTTCTCCAGAGTCAGGACATACCTCTTGCTTCTTTCCATTCTTCTATGAAGTTCACCTCTGCTAACTACTGCCCCACATTTTCTATCTTCCAAAGAACCACTAACAGGGGCAGGTGTAGGTCGCAATCATTACTGTAGGATTCCTTGGAGAAAAAAATTCCTCCATGGTAGGATGGCACATACATTATTTACAGTCAAATATTCCACATTTTTCTTCAGGTGTCATCACTCCTGGAAATTTCTCAGTAGCTTGCTTTCTCCTCAGTATAAAAGAAAAATTGCACTGGCCGGAGTTACCTAGTTAGAAAAGACTTTATTCAAGACAATTGCGCTAAAAGATTGAACTCAACTCGACTGAAACACAGATGGGGAGCTTTTAAGCACTGGGGGAGCTTGTGGCCAAAGCTGGGACTTGAGGAAGGATGTCCGTCCGTGGGATTAGGCCACCTGTGGTTAGTAGTAAGCTAATTTGTGCTTATTAAAGTTAGGCTCCTACCCTCTCCTGAAGGCTGGAAGATAGGGGCTCTATCTTTCCCGATGATTCTCTTTCAAAGGGATGGTTCCTAGGTACTTGAGAAAGACATTCCTGGGTTGCATTACTGGCAAGAGGCTGAGTTAAGAGTTACATCCAAGGGGCAGAGAAGGGATTTATCATTGCAAGTTTTCTAAAGTAAATGTTCTAAGAAAAGCGAAGTCAGAGCCCAATAGTTGGGAAGAAGCCTGTCTAAAGTTGACTAAAGCTGAGGTGACTGTTAAAGCCATTTTGGTAATCAGTGTCTTGGATGCCTGCTGGTTGCTTGGCCACTCTCACTTTCCACAATTTTCACACATCCCTTTTGTGTGTGTGCATGTGTGTGTGTTACTCCCTCTATTCTTGAGTATGCCCAGAAACTCCAAGTTTTACTTTATTTAGCAT